TGTCTTCCATAATGACAAGCAGCCTGTGTGGAACCCCATGGATGGGGGGAAGCCATCAGGGAGGCCCTTTTGAGCAGAAAAACAGCCAGCATGAGAAGGGTTAAACTGAATAGCGCTTCCCACAATCCACTCAAAATTGCAGCCTCCCGAGGTAGCTTTTCATCTGGCCCATAGCTACGGTGGCGCTATTGGGGCTCCGCCCCCTTCCTTAAAGGGCCAGCCCCCTTCCTTATAGGTCCCCCACTTCTTAAAAACTCCTTCCTAAAAGCATTTAAAGGGATCCTTTAAAATGCTTTTGAGAAGAAGGGGCTGGCACACGCCCCCCTCTCCCTCCCTCCTGCAAGATTTAAAGAGCCCTCTAGCTGATCAGCTGGAGCACATGGCCTGTCAATCAGCGGGGAGGGGGTCTTTAAAACTTGCAGGGGAGGAGGGAGAGGGGTGGCCGCTGGCCGCATGCCTGAACTGCAAGCGGTGAATTCCCCACTTGCAGTTCGGGCGCAGGTGGCCCCTGCTTGTAAAAAGCATTTAAAGGGTCCCTTTAAATGCTTTTTGCAAGCTCTTAAGACAACCTCCGCCTCGACTCAAGACAGGCAATTTCACCCTGCAAGAAAGGGAGGGGGGGATATTTTCTTGCATGCAAGCAAGACCTTCTCAAGGAGAAGAAGAAGAAGAAGAGATTGGATTTATACCCCGTCCTTCACTACCCAAAGGTGTCTCAGAGCGGCCTACAATCTCCTTTCCCTTCCCCTCCCCACAACAGACACCCTGTGAGGTAGGTGGGGCTCAGAGAGCTCTTGACAAAAACTGCTCTTTCTCAAGGACAGCTCTTATCAGAGCTATGGCTTGCCCAAGGCCATCCAGCCAGGTGCAAGTGGAGGAGTGGGGGAATCAAACCCGGTTTTCCCCGATTAGAGTCCGCGCACTTCACCACGACACCAAACTGGCTCAAGCAAGTAAAATTCCCGTGTTCCTAAAAAGGAAGACAGACCATCCCCGCCTCCACTGACTGACCAGTAACAGCAATGCTTTGGCCTCCTTGCTCACAAACAGACTTGCCCAGAAAAAAACCTCGGGACCTGTACCACTCTCGTCCAGGGGAGGGGAGACGGTGTCATGCTCGGCTTGCTGGCTTTAAGCTAGGGGAACAAACCAGAGACCCGCATACAGTTTCCCAGTGCTCTTCCATCAAAGCAGAAAATGCCTTGCTCTCAAAACAGTGGAGTAAAACGTATTGTACCAAAGCAAAAGAACAACAAAACATGCACGCGCGCACACACACACACACATGGAAACACCCCATAAATATTACATTATTTAAAATGATCTGATGGGAACTTTCCTCCAGAGACAAGACCCAACCTCTCCACCTTGTACACCACCCTTATCCATCTTCTTTGGAAGGGGGGAAGAGAGAGGGGGTTATACCCCGCCCTTCACTACCCAAAGGTGTCTCAGAGCGGCCTACAATCTCCTTTCCCTTCCCCTCCCCACAACAGACACCCTGTGAGGTAGGTGGGGCTCAGAGAGCTCTTGACAAAAACTGCTCTTTCTCAAGGACAGCTCTTATCAGAGCTATGGCTTGCCCAAGGCCATCCAGCCAGGTGCAAGTGGAGGAGTGGGGGAATCAAACCCGGTTTTCCCCGATTAGAGTCCGCGCACTTCACCACGACACCAAACTGGCTCAAGCAAGTAAAATTCCCGTGTTCCTAAAAAGGAAGACAGACCATCCCCGCCTCCACTGACTGACCAGTAACAGCAATGCTTTGGCCTCCTTGCTCACAAACAGACTTGCCCAGAAAAAAACCTCGGGACCTGTACCACTCTCGTCCAGGGGAGGGGAGACGGCGTCATGCTCGGCTTGCTGGCTTTAAGCTAGGGGAACAAACCAGAGACCCGCATACAGTTTCCCAGTGCTCTTCCATCAAAGCAGAAAATGCCTTGCTCTCAAAACAGTGGAGTAAAACGTATTGTACCAAAGCAAAAAAACAACAAAACACGCGCACACACACAGAAACACCCTATAAATATTACATTATTTAAAATGATCTGATGGGAACTTTCCTCCAGAGACAAGACCCAACCTCTCCACCTTGTACACCACCCTTATCCATCTTCTTTGGAAGGGGGGAAGAGAGAGGGGGGGAGAGATTGAGAGAGAGATCCAGCAACACCTACAGCATCAGACAAACAGAGCTTTGCACGGTCCTCAATCAGCCCAGGCCAGGGTTTTCATACAGGCAAGACTTTGGGGTAGGAGATAACATGCACACGGAACTCCTCCTCCCATTGAAGAAAACAGGACGCAGGAGTTCCATGCGTGCAACAGAATTCAAGGTGACTAATGGTTACAAAATAAAGAATGTATTCTGTCTTATAAGCATATGAGTGCCAGACGAAGGCATGCTAAACTCAAATAGTGTGTAAGGACCAAACAACAAACTAAAATCTCTTGATTTAGTTTCTGATTTGGGGTGTGTGTGTGATTTTTTTCCCCCACTTGCGGGATTTCCCCGATGTCCCTAATATCTGGGGCAAAGTTTTCATTTAGGCAGTCCTAATAGTTTTCGGTCAGAATGACATGAGTCGGCAGCTGATTGACGAACACTTCGTATTCGGTGCTCCCAAGAATTTTCCCCTGAAAGGATTCAGAGTGACATTAAGCCCAGTGAGGCCTCCTCATGCCTGAGGTGTAGGACAGAACAGTGCAGAGTTTTTAACGCTCTGAAGCTGTGTAGGGATTAGACCTGCCTTTTCCCTAGAGGGTTTCGAGGATTCGAACTGCTCTCCAAAGGGGGATGGGGCAGGGTTCTTCCTCCTACCATTTGACCTGGAGACGTTGTGATGCTTTCATTCGCAGCTCTGTTACAAGCAGTTCTACTATACAGCGCAACGATTCCAGAGATTCCAAAGCAAAGAAATGCTTCTTTAAGGAATTGCTTTGTTTTGTCGAGTCCTTGGAACTCAGCATATCCAGGATTTCTCAATCCTCAGCCGCTGTTGCCCTCCGTACTGGTAGCGCCACAGGGAGAGGTTGCTACAATCAAAGGCGCATGCAGGGCATTAGGTCTTCTGGATGGAGGGAGGTCCTGAGCAGGTGGCCAACCCCACTTGCCAGGTATTCCCGTAAGTATCATCCCCCTCTTAGAGAATCAGTCCTCGAAAGCATTGTGCTTGGCTCGTTCTACAAAATATGCTGTAAGATATGCTGTCGTACACACGAAGAGGGCAATACATAGCAACAAGGAAAACTGGAATGTGCTTTCAGCAATAAATAGATCGGTTCCTTGGAGACATAATCTAATACACACTTTATCAGGGGTGGCCAGACTTGCTCAATCTAACGGCCACACAGAATAAACGTCAGATATTTGAGAGCCGCAAGAAGAAGAAGAAGAGATTGGATTGATACCCCGCCCTTCACACAAAGGTGTCTCAGAGCGGCTTACAAACTCCTTTCCCTTCCCCTCCCCACAACAGACACCCTGTGAGTTCGGTGGGGCTGAGAGAGCTCTGACAGAAACTGCTGTTTTTCAAGAACAGCTCTTGTCAGAGCTACGGCTTGCCCAAGGTCATCCAGCCAGGTGCAAGTGGAGGCGTGGGGAATCAAACCCGGTTCTCCCAGATTAGAGTCCGCGCACTTCACCACGACACCAAACCACGACACCAAGACATGAACAAATATCACGCACACGTTTTTATCACAAAATATGCAAATTTGCTTTTTGATAAACATTAAATAAGACTGTGTGAAAGAGTCCTGAGCCACAGTCTGGCCACCCCTGAACTATTACACAGGGACACACAACTGCTTCTTATTTAATACATGGCTGTCTATTAGTATTCTTTCACCCTATCTCAAAAAATAATAATCAGAGTCACTCGCCTACGACTTGTTCTCAAAAGGTGTGGAAATTAGAAAGATGCTCAGAGCAGCCTTGGGGTTCACCTCCCACACAGCAGTCTCAGAGGAAAAACCACTGGATGCTGCCGTCTTGCAGATCTCGCTCAGGAAAGCCACCAGGGGTAGAACTGAGCAGAGACAACGCTGGATTTGTGCGTCCTCTAAAGAGCGTCAACAACAAAGGGCAACTGTGCTGACCTACAGAAAGAGGGTGCAGCTCAACGCCAGGCCGTGGAATGAGACGCGGGGCACCTTCAGGGGCAAGATTTTTGAGAAAGTGCAATCGTTTAAATGGAGTTAATTCCCAAATTTAATCCACCAGATTGTCAAACACATCCAAGGCAGTGAGATATATATATTATATATATATTTCCATTTGTTCAACCCCACAGAAGAAATAGGAAAAGAAGAAGAAGGAGAGAGAGAGAGAGAGAGAGAGAGAGAGAGAGAGAGAGAGAGAGAGAGAGAGAGTTCCAAACACGCGGCTTTGACAGCATAGTCCTGAGACAGGAATGCTTGTATCACTATAAAAATAGAAAGTTTAAAAAGATACAAAAAAGGTTACAGAAATAAAAAAAGTAATTACACTTGCTGTTTTGGAGACCAAAAGAAGGTAAGGCAGCCCAAGCTGTAGACTATATAATTATGTGGGATGCAAATTACCAGGTCGTCTAATGATACCGTCCTACAGAAGGGGGTGACTGGAGTCTGGAGAGGAAAGAACCGAAACGGGGCATAAAGCAAAGCCCGGTGCTTCCGGACGCTGAAGGAGACATGTGCAAGAAGTATTGATACACTTCCCCCCCCCCACACTTTAGCATCACCTTATATGATGTTCTGAACCAGACGTCATAATCGGGATTTGACCTGGGGCCAAAGTGGTGCTAGTAGAGCAATCATTACACATTTCTTCTGCCTGCATCATCTCCAGAGTCTTCAGGCCTGGCAATCACAGTTAGCCATTTCCACCAGATTTCTCTCCCAGCTGGCCGGCTGCTTTTAAGCCCAGTCTTCACGGCTCAAGAACCGAAGCCTTCTACTTGACACCACCAGAGTGAGCGAAGTGCTGTATGCATTGGATTAAATGTAGACCGAGAACTAAAGGGGCAGGGGGAGACAGAAAAGGGGGCTTGCAAGTGTGTCTAGGGCTACAGATCTGCTATCTTAGTTTGAGGTGTAAGAAAAAAGTCATCAGCCATGATGTATGATCTCCCTCTCTTCCAAGGGGCACACGGCTGCATCTGTCTTCAAGACAATTTAAGGATCTTCTTTCCCACCCATAGTTACATCTTCGGAGGGAAAAGGAGGGACCCAGTGGAAGAAGAGTCTTGTCTAGGTATTCGGTTGTGAACATCAGGTAACCAGGTAGCTGTGCATCTCCCTGGAATTAATGCTCAGAACCACGCCTGCGAGATTGCCTAAGGCACAGGGAAAGAAAAACACAAAGCGCCAAGGTTAGCAAAGCACAGGTTTCAACATGAACCCTCCCGTTTCTTCCACGGATAACTCCACCAGAACGAGATGGTGGTCTTATTAAAATCAAATCAGATGAAAGTGGTGCAGCAGTTCGGAGTGGCATCATGAAAACAACGTTTGGCATTGGCTGACATTCCCTAGGATTCTGTGCAAGTGAGATCACAAAGTGGCTTAAAAGGATCAGGCGAGGGAGGAGAAAGGGACCACAGGCTTCCTTTCAAGATGAGACTGACCTGGGATTGGACACTGACTGCCATCAGCAATAAAGGAACTCTGTAGCTGGTCAGGTTTCCACCTCTCCCAGAAGGAGCCACTGCAAGGTAATGGTGTGGAGGAGTTCCAAGGTGGGGGTGGCGTAAAGCAGACAACATAAAATATATAAGGAAACAAAAGAAGTGGATGGGTGAGACTGGAAACATGGCACTGTAAAAATTTCCAAAGTTATGAGAAAAGAGAACAGAAAATTCAGCTTTGGGCTTTTCCGCATTCTCATTTGCCTCGCTTATAAGTTCCTGTTTCTTGGGGGGGGGGTTGTTCTGTTGTGCATGTGTTTTGCTCCCTCCAGTGGTCAATTTTATATTACATCGCTTTATGTCCAGCATATCTCCCTGCAGAGTTAAACGGCAGGTTTTTATGCCAGACATAAACCGGTGTAATATTAAACTGACCACTAGAGGGCGCAAAGCACACGCAGAACACACAGAAAAACCTCCCAAAGAAACAAGAACCTACCAGCAAGGCAAATGAGAACGTGGAAAAGCCCTTTGTCACAGTGTGCAGTCCTAGGAGGGTCATTTTGTGCTTACCATCTCTCTCATGGGTGAGAAAGAGGCACGGGTAAGGATTTGCACAGCACCAGAGCTTTTCTGAAAACCCATGAATTTGTCACAAAGTATTCCAGTCAGCAAAAAGGAGCCCTCTCATGAGGGAAGTTCTTCAACAGAAAGAATGAATGGAATAGCTTAAATGTTTACGTACCCCAGAGGCCCAGCTAACTGGGCATGGGCACCCCACAGCCAGGGGTAGACAGGCTCCTCTCTAACAGCAGTAAAACCAATCCTCAGTCTGGATAGGGTGGGGGAAGCCTGCAATCCCTTCCTAAACTAATGATCTGGGATTCCCAGATTATTTCAGGCTTCCCAGTCTATGCGGATGGGCCAGAAACCATGCACATCAGCCATTTCTTAAGCTACTGGCTGTCTCACGAGACTCTGTCAAAACAACAGAATGTCTCTAAACCTGGATAAGTGGTGAGGACAACAACCCCTTTGTACACTCTGATTAGCAAATGAAGGGATTATATTAAGGGAAAAATAAAATCTGAGATGGACTAGCTCACACTGGGAAGTTAATTTTCAGCCTTTGTTTTTTTAAAAAATAAAAATAATGAGTAATACAAGAAATTGACAGGCAATTCCACCCTCTCTGGCATCTCTAAGATTCACCATTTCCTCTGTGGACCTGCTGCTCAGACTCTTCTGAGGGTTGTGTAAAACTTCCTTGTTCTGGCCAGTGTTCAGCAGCAAAGATTAAGAATATATATATACCCACATAAAAACACACCCACAGAGGGCTAAAAGTGACTTCTAGGCCTTCAAGGAGTTCTAGTACTTCAAGGAAATGAATTCTGTTTCTGTCTATCTATCTACCTCGTACTGCTTCTTACCTTATTGGTTTTAAGCAGATTGCTAAAATATAGGAGAAGCTAGACCTCATTTGAAAACCTGCCAAAACGTATTACAGATGCTGCGTAAAATGTCACAGCTAAAAGAGCGACAGGTCTGGTATTATCTTCTAATAAAAGAGGCAACGTCTTCATATGATCTATATTTTGGAGCAAAGGAAGATTTAAAAGATTTCTAGGCTCAGAATAGTAATTACATTCAAAGGTCATATGATACAGGTTGTCTCTATCACCTGCACCACAGTCACATACCCTAACAGAGTATGGTGTCTTAATACACCTCCCTTGCTAAACTCTAGATCAGGGGTGTCAAACACGCGGCCTGGGGGCCGGATCAGGCCTCCGGAGGGCTTCTATCAGGCCCGCAGTGGAACTGGCTGTCTTCTGCTTCTTCTTCCAGTTCTGCTGCTGCTGCTGCGTCATCATAGGTTTGCAGCTTACAGACACACACCTGAACAGCATACTCAAGATTGCAACAGCACAGACATTTTGAGGCAGTAATTCAGAGCAAGAGGTGTCAGTGATCAGACACGGTTTTAAGCATGTTTTTATTTTAAGTAAAAAAAAACAACCCCAAACCTGTTTGTTTGTGTCCTTTATAAAGTTTATATCTCCGCTACCTGGCATTACATTTTAAGACACACGTGGCCCGACCCAACAAGGTCTCCTTTATGCCAGAACCGGTCCTCGTAACAAATGAGTTTGACACCCCTGCTCTAGATGGTGGGACATTAAGGCGCAACCACATAAAGGCAAGCCCATAGTGAGGAACAGTCAAATTTGAGCAGTAATTGGGAAGCTCTCCAGGTGGAAGAATATCAGCAAATTGAGTAGAACAAAACACATCGTGCTCTACAGATTGTATTGGGGTGGTTGTGGATAGTCCTTTAGCTTGATAATGGAAAACCTGGGGTGGTATCCAGCGTTCCCTCTAAGCTGAGTCAGTGTGAGCTAGCTCGCAGTTTTTTTAGCCTCCGGCTCACGCCTTTTTGTCTTAGCTCAGGAAGGAGGGCTCCAGAGCAAATGAATTGATGCAGCAGCCTAATCGCTGGCTCACAACTTTAATGCCGGGAGCTCACAGAGTTTTTGCTCACAAGACTCCACAGCTTAGAGGGAGCACTGGCTGATCCAGTGGACGTTGGATGACAGGATGAATGGACAGATGACAGAGCACGGGGGGGGGGAAGAGAGGTGCAGAAACAGCTGAGTCACGGAAAGGGGATAAAGTAAAGCGGAAAATATTACTATAAGGTGTCATGTGAAAGGAGTTCTCTTTCTCTGTTATTGTTGCGGGCTCAGAGACCTGGGTGCTTTGGAGTGTACCAAAGAATCCCTGAACCATTTATTTCCACAAGGGAAGGGTATCAAATGTGTCAGAAAGTCAGAGAAAGCAGGAAATGGACCATTTGGCTTACCTGCTGGGGGGGGGGAGAGGAGAGATTACTGTTGTAAAACGTGCTCTGTGGTATGGAGTGTATAGTACATGACATCTAACCTTGACTTGGGAAGAGTTTTGGGTAATCTCCCCTAAGGGCAGAAGCCCAAAATCTGGATTGGGGAAGGTGCCGACCAAAGCATGCAGGAGGGTTTAAAAGGTGGAATCGGCCTTTGTTCTTTGTTATTTATTTATTTATTTATTAGTTTGATTTATATCCCACCCTCCCAAAGGCTCAGGGCGGCTCACATGCGGCAAAGCCGAGTGCAAAATACAATACAGTATATAATAAATAGAACATTTAAAATCACAATAAAACCTTCCAGTAATACGGTGCTATACCTATATTAATCATCCAAGATGGGGACAACCCCCCCAGGTTGGGTGGCCAGCTGTCTCAGTAGCGTGGTCTCCCACTACACTGTCTCAAACTTCTGCCAGGGCCCGCTTGCCCCCGTTCTTATAGGCCAGCCAATGACTTGCCACCTCGGTGGTAGAATAGTGGCAGCTACGGCTCCTACTCGAACGCATGGCGGAAGAGCTCCATCTTGCAGGCCCTGCAGAACTGCATAAGGTCCCGCAGGGCCCGGATCTCCTCTGGGAGCTCATTCCACCAGGTAGGAGCCGCCACCGAAAATGCCCTGGCCCTAGTAGAGGCAAACTTAATCTCTCGGGGACCTGGCACTCCCAGGAGATGGAGCTTTCGATCTGTTAGGCTGGCAGGAGCTGGGGCTAGAGACGTGCGCTCACTCCGTCATGCGGCACTCGGGTCTCGAACTGCCGAGCTATAGACCTTCTATCTGCAACTCAGCATCTTAACCCCTGAGCCACAGCGGCGGTAACTTTGCTAAAGTTATGTTCATATCAATTTCCAGACATCGGAACTCACTAGACACAACAGCCATTTCCCTTGTATGTGTTCTGGCTTAATCTTTACTAATAAAGTTGCTTTTCTGTTTCAGGAAGAGGACTGTGATTAAAATCCTATTCACACGCCTAGGCTGCTCATACAAGCCAAGAACATGCATGGGGGCGGGCAGGGGGGGACTAAAGTATTTGGAAAGCTCTGCCCTTTGGACCTGCTCAGAGGCAGCCTTGACACTGGGTTTTGTAACTTGGGGTGGTGGCACAAAAAGAAACATGCTTTTACATGCAAGTGAACCTGTAACGAGGCTGCAGTGGCTCAGAGGTTAAGACACTGAGTTGCAGACCGGAAGGTCTGTAGTTCAGCAGTTCGAGACCCGAGTGCCGCATGACTGAGTGAGGTCCCGTCTCTGGCCCCAGCTCCTGTTGACTTAGCAGTTCAAAAGTAAGAAATTACAAATAGGTACCGCTTCGGTAAGAAGGTAAGAGCGTTCCGTGCACCTCGATGTTCAGTCATGCTGGCCACATGACCATGGAAACGTCTTCAGACAGC